GCTGGGGACCCCATGGGGGATCTGTCTTCGTGTTCTGCTGAGCTGCGCTGCCCTCGTTGAATGAATCCCTTGGGGCAATCAGGGTGACCGATTGGTTGTTCCCATCAATCTCTCGCCGAACTGACGCAGTGACGGCTATGCTGTGTATCGTGATGCAGGAACTATTGCGTGCTGTTGGTTCTCACCGGCTATTGAGCTTCACGAGCCTTACGATAAACTCTCGGACTCGGCCGTGATTGTTTGCTCCTAGAGATAGGCGGGGTTTCTTAGGCGATTTTCATTACCCGACAACCGCAGCTCTCGTTGAATGAGCAGCTTTGGCCGGACGCGAGTAATGGGTTGCATGGTAGAGCGGAGTTTTGAATTTGCGTAGTCGTGGACCACATGATAGTTGATCACTGGGGTACAGGAAGGAGTCCGTGTCCGTAGGATCAATTGCGCGGTGACAGACATCGTTCGTCGGGTTACAAACCCAGGAACTATAGACCTGCGGGGGGTGTACGGGACATCTCGGAATGACAGCGAGGATGGACAGGCCCGTGCGTGGTAGTTGACCCCGGATGCGTGGTAATTACTCCATAACACTCTATCTCAATAATGCCCAAGGCTGGCAACTGCCGCCATAACCCACTGCTCGATCTGAGCATGGACCAGAGTTCTGTCCCCGTGATCTGCGTTCCAAGGAGTTCCGGTCAGAGTCACACAGGTGGTTAACGCGTCTACCATATTGATGTTTGCGGAGAATGATCTTCTGGGCAAAGTTTGTTTGCTCTGTTGTAAGATAACGCAATCAACAACATGATATGACCGATGAGTTCTGATCTCGAGGGCAGCTGAATCCACGCATGCAAGATAAGGGCGGGCAGTGGACCCTCGTTTGGAAGTTCACCGTGGGTTTGATGCAGGCAATGGATACCTCGGGCATTATTCTCGAAAGCTTGTAAATCACTCTATCCCGTTGATCTTCGATCACGGTGGCACAGCGTGCTACCGTTATGCTACTGTGATCCTTGCTACTTCAATCAGTTATCCGCGATGGCCACGGAAGAAATTCTGCGGTGTCAGTTTCCGTCGAAGAAGGAGTCTCGAAGATAGAGCTGACCTTCTTTCGCATTTCGTACTTCCTTTCTTCAAATGGTATATGCCCGATCTTGGCCTAGTGATTCAACTTTGGTAGCCCTTGTGGTTGTTAGACTCTCGCTCTGGATTGAGAGAGAGTTTGTAAGCCTACTAGACATATGTTGCCTCAGGCCACTTGCTCTTAGCCCGTGGTCACTGCAAGAGACAGCAGGCTTCAACTATATCTCCAGTGCAAAGCTTTGATTGTGTCCTGTTAAGCTCCATGCCTTGGTCTACGTCCGCCATGCAGTAGATACTGCGAAGAAGATCTCCCAGCTTCATTGTGTGCGTCAATGTGATATGTCTGTAGAAGCAATGTACTGTAGAAAGTGTACTGTACTGTACTGTTCTGTTGCCGCGCCAGCAGCTTGGTTGCAGTATGACGTCATTATATTATCTCCTCCCCCATTCTGCCGACTTCCACCGCCGATACCCACCGCAGTGGGCTTGTCACGTGGCACTGTCGTCATTTTCCAATTGTTTGCGCAGAAAGTGCATGACTTCCGCTTTCCTCATTCTTCATTCTCCACATTCCCAGACCAAGTTGCGGTTGACCCCTTGGATCAGATCACTCGCTTAACAGCCCACCCCCACACTACAGGTGAGGAGAGAATGAGACCGGATAGAGGGGGATCCGCGGAGAAGACAGAAAGATGCAGTAGACTGAAGCCTCTTCGGACAGAGAGGCTGTCACAAACACGGATCAGTCGGAAGGGCAGATCTATGTTTGAGAAACGACTGTTTATGCTCAGCAGCAATGCAATCTAACGCACGTTATACACTTACTAACCACATTAGCCAGCAACAAATAACCCCGGTGTTGACCATAAGCACAGCAACAGACGATACAACAAGGGATGGGCGTGCATATCCGACCAACCGCAATCTGCAAACACACCGCGCCAGTACACATGACAGCTATACCCAGACATCCAAGCCGTCCGTCCTGTCCTGTCCACCCCGCTCCAAAACTTTCAATTTCATTGATCTCGGGCATTCAGACTCTCAACCTCGACCCGGAGGAGAGTGTCCCATTAGCGCGGGCTTCATCCTTCCGCCACGCAAGCCTGGACGGTAATGCCACTGGACAGGGGGTCCCGTCGAGCACAGACACACTTCTTGACTAGCAGGGAAGAGAGAAACGCCTAGGTCAGCAACGTGACAAACGTGCCATACACATTGTCTGAGCGCGCAAAACCCCTCCCCCCCCTGCTGTATGCGAGTTTCAGTCCGACTTATCGCCAGCCGACCGTGTTTCCCCTCTTTCTTTTCTTCCTCAATGGGAAACGTTGAGCGTCGCGGTCCGCGAATGTGGGGTGTGCAGCTATAGCAGCCTTCCGTTAAGATGGCCGTACAGGATGGCTTCGATCCGTCCCCTCCGCACTGCAATATCACGACATACAGCTTTTCCCTCTCTCTCGCACTTTTACTGGGTCCCAACCGCCCTATCCTCGAGCTAGTCACTTGACAAGAGCACAGCCTTTGCGGGGTACAGACACCCTGGAGCACATCATATACGCAACAGTGTGGCCCCTGGTCTGCCAACTCATGCTCTCTGCCTGCGTCTAGTCGCTTACCCTCAGTCGCGACAACGCCAGTACGGGAGTCTATATCATACTATGGCCAATTATACAAGTATCCACAGGTATATGGGCACCTTTGGCGCTTCTTCACCCTGTCATGGCTTAACAGCCACCATGCTATTGTCAACATGACCATCGGGATTTCTCATTTGAACAATCTTGCAGGCAAGTTGCCTGTCACAAAGATCATTCAGCACTCGTTCTTTTCTTCCAGAACGGTGCAGGAGATGATCTCCGTCTCATGAGGTACACCATTCAATCCCAGTGTGCACGCTACATCAGGCTACCAAGCCAGACAACACATTGAACTTCAAACCATGGACGCAGCAAAGGTGCATCAAACCTTCTTCCTAGGCCTCTTGGCAGTCTCTAGCCAATGCTTACAAACCTCCAACCAACCAACCAACCAACTCGACCCGTACGCACATATCGGTATAGACGCCTCCACCGTGACTTTCCCAACCTGCGCCGTCTGGGTCCATCCCGAATCCCACTTCCCAAACGTTGTATGTTTCTCCTTGCCACGGCCACCTCTCCTTCCCCGCCTCGTGAAGTAGTCCTATTCAGATAGAACATCACCTCGTGCAGGGGCTCGCCACTGATATGAGACAATGCAAACGCCCTACGTTTACGACAGTACAACGCCTCCACAATATGAATGTATCCCTACCCGCTGATCGAGTGGTGGCAATGGACCACGGGCGACCCTTCCAAACGCCGCCCCTTGATGCGCCTACCCGCCGTCCAGATGTCAATAGAACCAGTAGACCCCCTCAGAGATGGACAATCTCGACAATCCTTGAGCAAGCCAGGCCCTTCTGTAGACCAAGAGAGGCAAATCTTTTTTGAGCGGCAAAAGAAGTACATGTGGTACAATCTAGAATTAGAAGAAGAGACCCTCGAGTACATCCATATACATCGATGCCCTAGAAGACAGACAGACCAAAGAGGCGAACCTCCATCACTTTTCAAAATAGATTCACCCCTGTAAGATACTCAGTACAGTAACCCTCGCCGCCTCCGCCCCTACCTTCCATTACTCTAGCCTAGTAGTATACCAAATAGAACCAGCCTGAGGCGAAAACAATCCCTTCGCCCCTTTGCCTCTGCTGCACACACACACACACAATCTCCTGAATCAGTCATGATAATCACCTCTCCTGATATCATCCTACACAGCTTTGTTTACTTTCTTCAGCTAGGTAGACATCATGCCCAAGAGTATTGATATCATCCTCTGCACCATCGATATCATTCCCCCCCCCCCTCCCTCGCTCCAAGAAAACAAAGTTATGCTGTGGCGCCCACCTCGCCTCGCCTCGCCTCGCCTCGCTTAATTTCGAACCTTCCAGATATTCCGTTCTTCTCAGTGTGTGGGTGTGTGTGATTCTTCACTTCTGCGAGATGATGCAAATTCCGTGCCGCTGCTGCGGTCTGGACGCGCGGGATATGCAGTGGGTAGAGGGCGGAGGGCGAGAAATGAGAATCTAAGAGAAGCAAAAGCGTATGCGTGTACGTGTGTACATGTACAGTGCAATGGGAATGGGACTGGGACTGGGACTGGGACAGTGGTGCGGTGCGGTGCTGGGACTATACACTAGGTAAGGTTCGTATAGCATCGTACTACTGAGTACACTTAGGTTTGGTGTTCCCCTTCCCTTGGGGTGGGTTGGTGGGTTGATTCTGTCGCTGTTTGCAAGATGCTAGGGTGCGAGACATGGACATGGACATGGACATCGACACAGAGAAGAGAGATTGAAGCAAAAAGTGAAAAAGCAGGTGCCACTGTTGAGGCGGTCTACCCTGCAGTAACTTACTACTTTTTGTTTCTTCTTGGGGGAAGTGGGGAGGGGCGAGGAGGAGCGGGGGATGAAAAGTTAGACACATGCACCACCACCACCAAAACCGTCAGTTACTGTCTTCGGGTCCGGTCTCGGTGGGAGTCTACGATTTCTGGGGGATTCTTGGAGGTGGTGCATAGTACTGCACTTACAGTCGCCTGGGTGTGCAGTGTATTATACTGAGAAGGGATGCTTGACCGTTCTTGATTTCTTGCCATTGCCATTACCCTCTTGCTAGGCCATTGGGATTGGGATTTCTGCACGCAGCTGCGTGCTGCACTCTGTACTGTACACTACACTATACTTAGCTCTCCCCAATGGCAATGGCAACAGCTTGCAGGTTGCAACTGGGCCGGGCGGGTTCTCTCTTTTGGTCGCCGGAGGGACACCTTGTAAAAGAAACAGTCCCGATGACAATGGTTGTGCACCCTTTCGATGAAATTTTGTTTGTATTATTGTGTGACCCAATTAATCCTTCGCTCATTCAGGAGTCTCGCCTTCGTCTTGCTATACTATCAAAAAGAAAAAAAAATGAAGCAGAATTCCGCCCATCAAGCCAGCTTCATGGAAGACATATGAAGAATCGAATCGCAAATGCAACAAAAGGTTCAGACAGCCGCCCAGAGACAACCAAAATTGAACACAGTATTAGGCAAAATAAAAATGGATAAGGTCGAAAGGTACAATATATGCATAAGGTGAATAAATCGTCTTCAAAAGCATCCGTCTGGTCTCTCTTTTTTTTCTCTTTCTTTCTTTCTTTTGTCTTTTTGGCCTTGGTCGTTCGGGTTGCAACACCTAAAGGTATGATCATAAGGCACGCACAATAACCCGGTCTCATTTCCTTCGTCAATGTTCGTATGTATCGTCAATCGTCGTTAGTTTTTCATCTGATCATTCGAGGATTCTGACATGCACTAAACACTCGCTGTTCGGCGTTTCTCACTAGGTTTCTGGGCGTATGCAATCCACAAGCGAAAGCCCGTGCCGCGCTGTTGACATTCACGGATCACCTTCCGGTCCGACCAGATGCTGAGAGCTATATCGCCATTCGGGAGGATGGGGATCTCGTAGCATCGCGTGTACCACCACCTGCCTACCTTGGCGACTATCTTGCGGATCGATTCATCGTTTGTGGGTGATGGGGATGGATCAGATAAAAGGTCACCCAGAGACAAATCGGTGTCATTGGAAGATGACTTCCCATGAAGCTTTTGGTAGACAGTCGCAGAAGTCTCCGTGAAGGGCGGAATATTGCCTGAAGGGCCAGTTGTTGCAGCAAGCACAAATGGGTCCGAGGATGACGTGGAGGTGGATGAAGCTGACGATCTCACGATCATTCCTGCAACGGGAATTCGAACCATACATCGTCGGAGATTATCGAACCCATACTTTCCAAGCAGCTTCTGTATGCTATCGCTCGTGGGCTTCAGGCTGATATTCGGGTCGGACACATATGTCCTTTCCTTCAATGTCCTCAAAGCTCTCCGTGTACGGTTGCCCATGTTCACCATATCACGGTCAAGAATGCTCATCTCCAGATAGCCTCCCGCGCGCAGAACACGCTTGCATTCAGACACAAGTCTGGCTTGCGTGTTCTCCGCACAAGCTGCAGGGAAGCGCAGAACAGCAACAGTAAAATATCCCTTGGGAAAAGGCAATCTGTCGTGGAGGGTTGACTGGTAGAACGTGTGGTGATTTGATGGTGGCTGCCATGCTGCCGGGTGCTTGAACGTAGCGGTATTGACTCCCTCATTGAGACTATAGACACTGGCTGTGGGGTACGTCAGGGCACAGTAGAAGGACCAGTCGTCGTTTCCCAGTCCATCCACAACCAAAATTCTTTCCTGATCTCCGCTTTGGGCACGGCCATGTCCGGGACTAAAGAGAACCCTCCCGAATGATAACCAGCGACTGGTCATGAGCGAGCCGGACCTGATGTTCGTGAGGGCAGTTGGCCCTTCACGATCACGTTCCGCTATGTCGAATAAGGCAGTGTTGCGCTGACGGCATTCTTCGAAACTGAGAGATGCAACTAATGCTGTGGAGCCAAGCAGGCCTGACGGGTGCTCCGCATGGGGCAATGGCATCACGCTGTCGGGTTCTTGCTCGGTCAATTCCTTATTTTCATCGCGATTGTCACAGTAGCAAGCGATTATGCTACTGAAGGAAGGCTGAGAGGACGGGGCAAGCGACGTGCGAGATTCGGCAGCAACGTTGGACCTGCGGAGTCGGATAGAGCCATTCGTCGACACTGGAGAGGAAGGCGTAAGCTCGACTTTTGGCCCATTAACCGGACCAGCCAGGGGCTTCGTCTGTTCACTAGTCAGCTCCGCTTGGAGCGTTTTACTAGCCATTGTCGCCATCTCGAGGTTCCGATCCGACTCTGAGCCAATTGAAAACAACGTACTTGTTGTCTGGGGCGACAGAACATGATCAATGAGGTCATCGTACTCCCCCCATACTTCATCTTCCGTCAAATTTGCGCCGGGGCTTGGAACCACGGCTGTAATTGCAGCGAGGCTCTCGGAACCACTTGATGTAGATACTACCGATTCCTTCCTGGGTGAAAACGTCATAAACTCATCCTTTGCATAAGGACCAGCAATGAAGTCTAGGACACTGAATTGAAAAAGGTCGGCAAATGGGTTCGCTAGGTCAAAATTGTAAACAGACTGCTTTTGCGGGGATTCGAGCTGTTGCACTGTGGGTGGTTGTGAGATGGACGGGGAAAATTCGTTAGGCATAGGGCCAACTGGAGCGAGTAATGAAGGAGAGTCCGCCACGCTAAATGGTCTCGAGAATGACTGCAGAGCCGGCTTGTGCGGTCGCTCCCTTCTCGAAACAACCTGGGGGATGCGACCGATCGATGTTAGGCGACTGGTACGTTTAACTTCCACTTGATCGTCCAATCTACCTTCGGGGCTCCGAGGAGCCAAGCTCTTGTCAAAATAGACCTTTGGAGACTGGGCATGATCTCGAAACAAATTGTCGTGTAGCTTCGGTGGTGAAGGTAGTAAGATGGAATCGGTAGCGTCTCGTGTATTCATTGCAGCTGGCGCTTCAACTGGAAAGGCAATCTCTGTCTCTTCGTCCTCGGTCGGAGGTGAGTTCTCAACACGGTGGACTATCTCTTCAAGTGGGTCCGAGTCGTCCTCCAGCAGCGCATAGTACGGAATAGGCCTACGGGCAGCTACGGGAGATACCGTAGCATGAAGCTTTGGGCCAGAAGGGGCGTCAATGTCGACAGGTGATCGAGCTGTGTCCGGTTTTCTGTGGAATATATTCCATTTGAGCCCAAGGCCTCTCTTGGATGGCTTCTTCTGTGGGCTCTGTGCCTCAAGAGCTCTGGGCTGTCTATCATCGTCGGGCACTTGAGGTTTCTGATATTGCCGACTGACCTGAGCAAGCACCTGCGGTTTGACAACTCTCGTCTGCTCGGGTTGGGTGACGGACATATCCGCAGGCTCGGAAAATGCTAATATGCTCGAAGTCTTTTGCCCTTCCGAGCCTCTCCAGACTGATTCGCTCAGTGTCACCGAAGTCGCCCTAGATGATGGCAATGTCTCCGTGGAGCCGCTTGCAGATGGAGAAACCTTGAACTGTTGTGTCAGAATTGAGTTTGTGCCTGTACTGAAACCACTTGTGCTCTGCTCGCTCTGCCTTTTCAAAGCGGCATTGCCATCCATACCACCGCCTTGGATGATCACAGGCTGAAGGCGCTCCAGTAGAAAGTCATCAAGCTCGAACTCGGGACGGCCTTTTCCAGCAATGCCTTTGCTATTGGAAACAGGCTTTGGTCCACTTCTTACAGAGCTTGACGATCGTGCTCGACTGGTCGTACTGCTAGTCGTGCTCATCTTGCGGCCACGCTGCGAGTACCTGCCGTAGCCTTCGTGGCCTGTTCCAGCAGCTGGTCCTTTGCGAACAGATCTACCTTCGTTATCCTTTTCTATCTCCGATTTAGATCGTCTGGAGAACAGACCAAGGGTGCGGGTTTTGCCTGGACTGACAACTTCGTGCTGAACGTTAGAACCCTTGGTCAGGATTCGGGGGCTCTTCCATAGCAGTTCTGGCGACGTAGGGATGCGTGAGGTGGTTCGCGTAGATAAAGTAGAATACAGAGAATCCACAGACGTGGCTGCAGACAAGTTTGAATGTGTCGCACCCTCAGGTACTGCATTCCGATCGCCTGAAATCCGACGTCTATGTCCTGTCAATGCTGTAGGCATTATGTTGCTCTGAATAATCGGTGAGGGCTCCAGCACCAACTGATGAGTCCCTTCTCTGCTGGGTCGTGTGGGAATATGGACAGAAATCTTCATTCCGTCCGCTCTCTCCTCACGAAAAACAGACTCTGGTTTCTGTGCTGCTCCAGAGTCCGGCTGTATATCGTGGCTTGGCTGCTTTTCACTGAAAAGGATCGGTTTTGTGCAAGTGGGTAACTTTCGTGGCAGGCTACTTCCAGCCACATTCGGCGCATTAACCATTCTCATCCCAGACTCTTCATGGTAGCTATCACCATGTAAATTGCCCCGGCTTGCTCTGGGGCGTGGTTCCAATTCATCTATAGCGCTTCGTGCAGGTTTTCCCGCGGATGAGCTCGGCTGTTGTTGCTGGGGAGAGAAGACAGGGAGCCTGCTTTGAGATGGACTTGGCTGTCTTATACGAGGACCCTTGGGAGGGATCGAGATCCCTGGTGAGTACGAAGATAAGGTAGTAGGTGTGGATGTCCTACTCCACATGCCGGGAGACTCAGAGTATCTCGTCGATGGGCTGCTGGCGGAAGGAATGATTGGGGTTGGGGGTGGGAGGTTCTGTGTGTTGATCGTGGTGGTCCTAAGACTGGCGAACTCCTTTGGGTTATCGTGAGCTGCGATATTCGATACGCTGCTCAAAGAAATCTCCGGCGAGGTCATTGGTGATGAAAGCTGTCCGATCAGACTAGCATTACTTGGCGGGGACTGAGATAGAGTAGTCGCTGGACGACCAATGGAAGGTTGCTCTGGAATTATAACATTCAGCTTCTGAGACCTGATTCTATCCGGCATGGGCTTAATTTGTGCACTATGCTGGCCAATTGTGGGCGCTCTCCTTCGCAGAACATTCCGCAGGCGACCTTGACTTGGGGTCTGTGGTTCAGTTCCGGAGTGACTCAGGGGTCCAGCAGCCATGTGGGATACCAATGATACACGACGATCTGCCTTCGGGTCCGGGGTCGAATGCGGCGAAGATGAGTGGATCGTCCCTTGAGAGGAAAATGGCGGACGAGCCATGAGGCCAGTCGGAATTCTCGACGTCTTCGAGGATGCGGAGGCATGGCGACTATCTTCTGCATCGGATAGAGATGGTGTTCTGCTATTCATGGGTGGTCCATTGTTCGGCCTTGGTATCCGGGGACGGTGCAATAATTGGGCAGCAGAGTTCGAGGAACGCACTGAAGCCATCCCGGTCGACGATACATTTCGGGGTTGAAAAGCGACATCCTTCAGCCGGGGTATTCGGCCACCGTCAGACTTGTGCGACGACATCGTATGACCAAGATCCAGTCGCCAGCTTCAGTCCGAGGACTACTAATCTAGCGATGGTATGGAAACGGACAAGGCTTGAACTCATTCCGTCCGGTTCCTGATTATTGGGAATGGAGCGAAATCTGCAGGCCAAATGCGATGTAAGCTTCTATACGCTCCGGGCCTGAGTCAGAGGACTGGTTGATCACTTACATTGGTAGCTGTTAGCATCGTGTTCTGCGGGAGATATTAAATGACAGGAGCGCTTCTATATGGGGAAAGTTGAAGACTTCACAATATTGCCGCGTGGCGGGTTTTTTTAAGACACAATGGAGCGGTCAAGCACAGAACGATGTACTATACAAGGGTTTAAAAGCACCATTAAAAACCGCGTTCTTGGAATAGCAGGCACCTGAAGAACGAAAAAAAAATCGGCCGTCCAGATATGATTGCACTTGAGCGGCGACGACGACAGAAAATATCCAATTGACCGCGGGTATACTTGAGCCGGCGGGCAGATGCACTCACTGCGCCACAGCCCGGAGACGTCGCCGGTGGCTAAACGCAGGCAGGAAGAAAAGAAAGTGGTTGAGCTGGGTCTGCACGACCACGTCAGAGAACCTGCTGCGGCAGTCTGCAAATCAGAGAGTCCGCTCAAAAGGAAACTCTCAAGGCCAGCTGAGAGAGAATTAAAGTGTAGAAAGTGAAGTGAGGAGGAGTAGGAGGACGAAGGAAGGTCATGGATCAGGTTGTATTAATCAGTGACCATGAGATCTGGACCTGGGGGACAGTCTAAGAGCGTCCATTATTGAGTTCAACCCCATTGTGGACCGTCGAGCGCCGCGGGAAAGCAGGATAACCATTTGCAAGTCAATAAATCCCTATAACTAAAGGTCCAACTATCACAGAGGAATCCTGGCGTCGTTTGTGCGATCGACATCGGCGCCGAATTCGAGCCCTGATGTGACCGGGACGATCATTGGCGCAGGAACTACTCTGTCGCCTTGTCGCATAGCATATCAGTACGATTATAATATAAATCCCGTCATCGCAAGTGCATCTTGGAATGGTTATCGCTGGGAGCAGATTGAGCCTAGAGGATCCTCATCTTGGTCAAGGGCACGAGCGTTTTGGACTCCACAGATATTACCGCTGAAGTCGAATTGCGAGAGGTATAGTGAGCCAGAGTGGACGGGAACGATTGTTCAGATCCACCCGCGTTTGCTACCTTCGATATAAGTGGTGAAGACTACCGCAGCACAGGCCTGAGGACTGTTCAACGGTAAGGGCTGACAGGTCTCGATGGAGTCGAGTGGCGTGGGATAGTGGACAGTCCGTCGTCCTGGAATCTGACCACTTGCGATGGCCCAACATGCAAATGGCAGGTGCAGGCATCATTGAATGGGATCAATTCATTAAAGGAGGAATTGCCGCAGCTAGATCTGGTCTGTGTGTCAATCAAGATCGACTCTGATTTGACGCCTGTCGGACATTTTCCTTCGTTCTATCGGGGATTCGGGGGAGGGGAGGGGAGGAGAATGGCGAGATTGGCGATAACTGAAAGAGGGGGTGGATTTTCTTTTTTTTTTTTTTTTTTTTTATTTTTGCATTAGTTCGGCGGTCAGGTGAAAGGCTGGAGGTCACTGATGGTCACTGATGGTCAGTGACTTTGCCGATCGCGGCGAGTCCGAGCAAGAGAACGTGAAGGAAGTGACGAACCACCACGAGTGGCTACTTAGTCTACTCTACACTATCGATCAGGTGCAGAAAGAGGAAGATGCAGAAAGAAGAAAAAGGCAGCATCTTCAGACCCTTCAACTTATCCACAATGTGTGCCATCGCTGATCTTGCCAGAGGAGCAACTCTGGTACGCTGGAAGGTTCGCCCCGAACCATCCTGTCATCCCCAGTTTCCCTGCTTCTTCAATACGTACAGTACACTGCTCAAGCAACTTCTTCTCCTAGGGCGAGCCATGGCATGAAATCAACTACTGGGTATAATGGCTGGCCAGGATATACTTCGACCAGAGATCTTTGTTTTCATGGCATCCTAGCTTATGTACCCAGGACTCTGTACAGTACACGGCAGCTGAGACCAAGGGCCACAACTTAGAGTGGTGGAGACACTGTCGGTCCCTGAAGCAATCAATTCATCGAGAATCGAGAATCAACCCTTGTGGGATCGAGGTTGACGATCTATTAATATCTCTGCTACTCTTACTGATCTTTCTCTCTGCGCCAGCTCTCACTCTCACGAGTTACTCATACCTTACCGTCCCAGTAGATGCGGAGTCGCTCAGCCCGTGGGTCCTGATCCGCCGCTAAATTCTTGTCACCGTGCGACAATCCGCCCTGATTGACGGATGCCATTTGCGCGGCCTGGCTCAGCACCGAGCCTGGACGGGGGCAACACACCGCGCAACACGAGACGATTCGCTCGATTTAGTGAAGCAAAGGCCCTTTCGCTTACCGCAGTTGTTCACTGGAGCGGAGATCAGCGGCTATTCGAGGCCTTTGCTCAGCACTAATCATGGAAGTGCTTTGACTACAAATGACTCCGATTAGGATAAGCCAAGCTAAACGATGGCGATATATACCAATCATCGACTAGTCTGAAAGCGACTTCTCGTTGGGACGGGTGGGATACTCGAAATGGGTAACAGGATACGAATTGAAGGTAGTAGGCGGGCGGGAATGCGGGCGACATGATAGTGAGGGTCTTCTGCAGTCACTATCGGCATGGCGTGGAGCGGTGATTTCGATCTACTGACGCGAATCTCATTGCTTTGAAAAGACCGAGACAATTCTGATCTTTCCATGGCCAGCGAGCAGCGAGCACTGTCCGACTTTCTGCAGGAACCGGCGCATGTCATGCACCTTTCAGCTGAACATGTCAAGGCTGCCGCTACCGACCGCCACAGTAACATAGCTTGCAGCTTGACACGACCGTCTAGAAATCTCCAGAAAATATTGACCGTCACAAACAGCCTGCTTCTATCTATTCATGGTTGTCGACGAAAAGGGTTCGGCTTGCTTGAGCTCCCAGAAAGCAGAGTAAACATGGCACAAGACAGGAACAGAAGACACAAACAGATGTTGGACTGGATATCACCCTGAACGGTGCTTTGTCCTCGTTCAGCACCAATCACCGATCAAGGTCTGATTATCGACATAGTAACGATAGCCCTGGCCTTTTCCCACTCTCCCTGACTTGTCAACCCACTAGGACCGTACGACTACCATATGGAACAAGAGCATCTGGCCGATCTAATTGAATAGGTCGAGCTTCCACGCTGCCGTCCTATCATACTACAGGATTGTATTGTATATTGACAACCATCGCAGCTTCCTTCAAGAAGCTTAAGCACACCAGTAAAAGTCTGAAGATCGATATTGAATTCCCTTAAACGCCGAGCGAGATGAAAAACAGATAGGATGAAAGATAAAGCCGAGGAGCCAGAAAGCCGAGGAGCAGCCTATCCGAATCTCTTCTTCCTGGCTTCCAAAGCCTGGGCGTCCTTTTCACTCAGACTGCTACCCTTGTTTCCACCTCCATTCTGCTGCTGCTGGCGCTGAGTCTGACCTTGACCCTGGTTGCGATTCCCGCGACCCTGTCGCCGGGACTTATTCCGGCCGCCACCGAAATCGCGTCTCTTTCCTCCCCGACCACCACCCTGTTCATTCTCAACACGACCACGCTTGCGCGACTTCTCCTCCGGAAGTGCCTCATCCAGCTTCTTCACCCCAACCTCGGTTGTGGGGGCCGCGACGGCAGCTGAGCCGAACCGCTTCGCCCGTTCCAGCTGCTTCTCTGCAGCTTCAATGGCAGCCTTGGACTCCTCCGTGATTCCGAACTTCTCCGCCCGAGCCTTACGCTTCTTCAACTCCTCCTCCATCTCCGTAATTGGAAGGCCCGCAGCGAAGTTCGGAGCCGGCTTCTGCTCGGCTTCTTCTGTAGTAGCGGTAGCGGCAGCGTCCGTGGCAGCCTCAGGCTTCACCTCCGCAGAAGCAGCAGCACCCTCCGATTCAACCTTAAGGTCGTTTGTGGTAGCAGGATCGGTGTCTAGCTTCTGGTTGGGTACAGCAACAGGGTTGGGCACTTCCCCCTTTCCACCGGCCGCGATGGTAGCAGCCCCAGCCTCTGTGGAGCTCTTCGCAGCGGCCTCCGTGGCAGGGACTTCGTCATCCTCCCAATCGATGACATCATCCGCTGCTGCTGGAGCCGCAGATTCGGTTGTCGTTTTCGTAGCCTCGGCGGCCTTGTTATCATCCTCCTGGAGGCGAGCCACCATTTCCGCTTTCTTGCCGTTATGCGGAAGATTCCGAGACTTGAGGATTTCGACCAGCTCTGCGTTGGTCTTCTTGCTGTAATCGGTCGTCATGGTGTATAGCGGGTATGCGATGTACTAAGTCAATTGACCGTATGGAGAGAGACAGTGGAGAATAGCAGGCGCAGGGCGTTGACGACGTATGTGAGCGGATGTGGTATTCCGATTCGAATCGGCTTGGCGCTTCTAGGACCTGCTGAGATGGTCAATTCCGCTTGGAATTCCGAATGTGCGCTTTGTTGAGATGATGAATGCGCAGCGTTAATGAGGGAGGTCTTAGAGAGCGATGAAATAGATGGCAGGAGAGGTTTAAAAAGAGCGCAGCTGGTTGGGGGACGTGTTTGAGACGGGAGGCGACTGTTTGGCGGCGGTTTGCCCGTTCCGGAAGAGCTATCACGTGTAAAGCTGACGTAAGGGCCATTGCTCCTTCATCCAGATCTATACCGAACAGAACACATGCTAATCTTGAATTGAAATTTTAGGGACTGGTGACCTTACGGGTGTCTCAATCATTCGCATGTTAGTACCTCAGAAGCTCGAGTGAAACATTTGGCAGTTGAGGTAGAGTTTCTACGCGGCCAATGCGCAGCTACTGTATGCCGAACTATCGGCATCGCCAGCTTTTGCACCCGCCTCCACGCAGACAGTGCAACTCATTTCTGGAAGGCCAGCGTCAGATTTATTGTTAAACAAAAGCTGGATTACTTGATACCTGGACTTGTTCTTTAATATTGACCACGAAGAGACCAAAAGTCGTCTGTTATAGCTGGAATCAAACAGCTCTTCTCATACTCATGCTCATGTTGTAAATACTGCCAGTGATATCTAACTGGTGGTTTTGAGATGATAGTCTCGGGTCTGTAGAGTAGCTTGAGGCTTGATAGATTGCTCGCTCCGATCATACTTGAACGTAGTTTACGGGAATCACTTGAGTAGTTAGAGAATTTGCAGACATATATATACCTTTCTAGCTTCAGATCCGGAGTTCTTCACCGATGACTCTTATCAGCCCGAGACCAACACATACGGAGTTATAGCATCCAAAAGAACTGTCTTGGATATCTCAATAAGCTACTCTAAAAAAGCACCATTATCAATTATAAATTATTCTGTCCTTGCCAGGTCGACATATCAGCCGTTGACCGATCTGGCTAATCCATCCACACGTGACATCACTGTTAGTCAGCAGTCTAGTCCCGCCGGCGAACTTCACCTGATGTTCTCTGATATTTTCGCCTCAAGGACGTCACTTCCCTTCACCATCAAGCTTGCTGTCATCGTTCTGTCCGATCCGGATGTAGCTGCCTTGACCCCTAACTGGGAGTGTCTGTCAAAAATCTCACACTTGGGATCTCCATAGCTGCCAACATGTCTGACGGTATGATGTTCCTCTCCCCCTTCCCTCTCTCAAACCACCGTTGTCCTCCGGCCCTGACTGACCGCCCCTTTTCTAGCTGACTTTGAAGCCGTTCGTCGGCTCCAAGCTGAGCGCAATGCTGCTGCAGCTGGAAGTAAAGGTTCTAGGACCTTTGATCCGTCTAGCCAGCGCACTGACAACTCGACCAAGGCCTCCCTGACTGAATCCTTCGACACGACCCTCTACGAACGCGAAGGCGCCGACAAGTTTGCGGGATATGATACATCGATTGCCGTCAATGGCGACGATGAGGAGATGGAGGACGCGGACGCGGGCCACCGCCTGGTGGGCCAGTACACTGCCACCCGGAGCCAGATCGACGAGTTCGCCCACGGCAACGGGGTGGAAGAGGAGGACATCCTTCTTGGGCGCGAGAAGGCAGCTAGGATCGCCGACCGTGAGACAGACTACCAGAAGCGCCGCTTTAACCGCGGCCCGCTGACTCCCACGCGCGCTGATCCGTTCGCTGCGAACACTCACGCCAATGTAGAGGGGGAGGGGGAGGAGGGCCAGACTTACCGTGAAGTCATGGCCATGCGGGAACTTGAGAAAGAAGAAGAACGTGTCCAGAAGCTGATCGCAGAAAAGCAGGCCCGTGGAGAGAACGATGTCACCGAGCACGAGGCTACGCTGAAGTTGGAAGACAAAGAGAACGCCGACGCCGGCTCCACGGTGGCCGTCGCCTCGGGTCGCAAGCGCAAACAGCGGTGGGATGTAGCTTCGGAGCCGGCTCCTGAGGAGGAGGAGACTCCCAAGCCCGCTGAAGCCGTCGACACTAAGGCAAAGAGGTCCCGTTGGGATCAGACGCCCGCCCCGGTTGCCCCCGGCGCTGCTGAGGATGCCCCCAAGCGTCGCTCCCGATGGGATCAAGCACCAGCACTTACAGCCGCGACCCCGGTCGGCAACCAAGGGCTTGCCACCCCCATGCATCCCTCCCAAGTAGGTGCACCTTTGATTCCAACTAGCTTTGGAACTGATATCTCTGGGCGCAATGCTCCCTTGTCGGACGAAGAGCTTGATATGATGTTGCCGTCTGAGGGCTACAAGATCCTCGATCCTCCTCCAGGATATGCCCCGATCCGGAACCCTGCGAGGAAGCTCATGGCTACTCCAGCACCCATGGCCAGTTCCACTGGTGTTGGTGGTTTCATGATGCAAGAGCCTGAAAGTGCTCGTGCGCTGGGCAAACAGCTTCCAACTGAGATCCCCGGCGTCGGAGACCTCCAATTCTTCAAGCCTGAGGACATGGCCTACTTTGGCAAACTCATGGAAGGAGGTGACGAGAGCTCAATGACAGTCGAGGAGATGAAGGAACGGAAGATCATGCGACTCTTGCTGAAGGTCAAGAACGGCACGCCGCCGATGAGAAAGACAGCCCTGCGTCAGCTCACGGACAACGCACGGCAATTCGGCGCGGGGCCTCTGTTCAGCCAGATTCTTCCCCTTCTCATGGAGAAGTCTCTCGAAGACCAGGAGCGCCATCTGTTGGTGAAGGTCATTGACCGTGTTCTCTACAAGTTGGATGATCTCGTTCGTCCCTATGTTCACAAGATCCTTGTGGTTATTGAGCCCTTGCTTATCGACCAAGACTACTACGCCCGTGTTGAGGGTCGAGAAATCATTTCGAACTTGGCGAAGGCCGCTGGTCTAGCCACCATGATCAGTACCATGCGACCGGATATCGACCACGTTGATGAATATGTCCGGAACACGACTGCCCGAGCCTTCGCGGTTGTCGCTTCTGCTCTTGGCATTCCTGCTCTTCTCCCATTCCTTCGTGCTGTATGCCGGAGTAAGAAGTCGTGGCAGGCTAGACACACAGGTGTCAAGATTGTTCAGCAAATTCCTATTCTCATGGGCTGCGCCATCCTGCCTCACCTCAAGGGACTGGTAGACTGTATCGCGGACAACCTTAGTGATGAGCAAGCTAAGGTGCGAACGGTCACTGCCCTGGCCGTCGCGGCTTTGGCTGAAGCTGCCAACCCTTACGGTATCGAGAGCTTCGATGAGATTCTCAACCCTCTGTGGACCGGTGCCCGGAAGCAGCGTGGTAAAGGTCTGGCTGCGTTCCTCAAAGCTGTCGGCTACATCATTCCCCTCATGGACGAAGAATATGCCAACTACTATACCAGCCAGATCATGGAAATTCTGCTCCGCGAGTTCGGATCCCCAGACGAAGAGATGAAGAAGGTCGTTCTCAAGGTGGTGTCACAGTGTGCTAGCACGGATGGTGTGACAGCCAGTTACCTCAAAGAGCATGTTCTCACAGACTTTTTCAAAAGTTTCTGGGTGAGGCGTATGGCTTTGGATAGGAGGAATTATCGTCAGGTGGTGGACACGACGGTGGACCTTGGACAGAAGGTGGGAGTGGGTGAGATCCTCGAGCGCGTCGTAAACAATCTCAAGGATGAGAGTGAACCCTACCGGAAGATGACTGTGGAGACAGTGGAGAAGCTTATCGCAGCCCTCGGCGCCGCGGATATCTCCGAGAGACTGGAGGAAAGACTGATTGATGGTGTCCTGTATGCTTTCCAGGAGCAAAGCATTGAGGATATTGTCATCTTGAACGGCTTCGGTACGGTGGTCAACGCCCTTGGCACTCGTTGCAAGCCTTATCTTCCCCAGATTGTCAGTACCATTCTCTGGCGGTTGAACAACAAGTCGGCCACGGTTCGGCAGCAGGCTGCGGACCTCATCTCCCGCATCGCCATGGTTATGAAGCAGTGTGGTGAGGACGCGTTGATGGGCAAGCTTGGTATTGTGCTTTACGAGTACTTAGGTGAGGAGTATCCCGAAGTGCTCGGTTCCATCTTGGGAGCCCTCCGATCTATCGTCACCGTGGTTGGTATCAATCAGATGCAACCACCGATCAGAGACCTGCTCCCTCGCCTCACGCCTATCCTGCGTAACCGTCACGAAAAGGTCCAGGAGAACACCATCGATCTGGTTGGTCGTATCGCCGACCGTGGCCCCGAATCCGTCAACGCGAGGGAGTGGATGCGTATCTGTTTCGAGCTCCTGGACATGTTGAAGGCCCACAAGAAAGGCATCCGTCGTGCCGCCAATAACACCTTCGGTTTCATCGCCAAGGCCATTGGTCCCCAGGATGTGCTGGCCACGCTGCTCAACAACCTGCGTGTCCAGGAACGTCAATCACGTGTCTGTACCGCAGTTGCCATCGGTATCGTGGCCGAAACCTGCGCGCCGTTCACCGTGCTCCCGGCCCTGATGAACGAGTACCGGGTGCCCGAGCTGAACGTGCAGAACGGTGTCCTCAAGGCTATGTCCTTCCTGTTCGAATACATCGGCGAGATGGCCAAGGACTACGTCTACGCAGTCACGCCGCTCCTCGAGGATGCCCTGATCGACCGCGACCAGGTGCACCGTCAGACGGCCGCCAGCGTGGTGAAGCACATCGCGCTGGGCGTCGTGGGCCTCGGATGCGAAGACGCCATGGTCCACCTTCTGAACCTGGTCTTCCCCAACATCTTCGAGACCAGCCCGCACGTCATCGACCGGGTCATCGAGGCCATCGACGCCATCCGCATGGCCGTCGGCACGGGAACCGTCATGAACTACGTCTGGGCCGGCCTGTTCCACCCCGCCCGCAAGGTCCGCGTCCCCTACTGGCGCCTCT